TATAAACAAATTAAAACATGATCATAGACATAGATTAAATATGCTAGACTTCAGCAAGATACATAAAACTCAAATGATGTATTTTATAAGATAAGAAGATAAGAAGTTTTAGGTGTTTACACGGATTAGAACTAACTTTTTTTATTTCTTTTAAAACTAAAACATGTTTTATTATAATTCCAAAACAATCCAACCAATAAAAGATCAATCTTGCAAAATCCAAATTGTCAAAATAACAAAAGTATAAGTAATTTTGTACTGAAAAATTGAAACAAATGGAGCAATATTCAAATTTTTGATCAAAATTAAATACATTTATAAAAAATATTATTTTATTTGATTTCATTATACAGTTTAACTAAAAAATCATATAAAATATTTTAAAAAAAATTACATTTAGATACCTACTCTCCTACTTACATGGTTGCATATCATCTATTTTTTATAATATATTTTTACACCTACACACAACAACATATTGGGAATTTTAATAGTTTTAGTGATTATTTTGTTTTTAAAAATTCAAATCATAGCATATATAGAAAAAGTTTTAGATTTTATTTATTAGATTTTTTGTATTGTGTCAATTTTTTATTTTATAAAATAAAGTTAAACAAAGATGAAAGGAGATATAGAATGATTTAAAAAAAATAAAATAGCATTAAATTGAATCTCATATTTTCCTTATTTACTAATTTTCGTAATTGCCAATTAAGGAAAGAGAATGATGATTCTTTTATTAATAATTTCATATATGATTAATCTAACTATACATATTTGATTCTCTAACCAAAAATATGAATGACAATGTTTGTAATTAGTCTAGTAAACTAATCCTTATTTTATAAATAACATGAGAAGCTCTCTAATGATGACACATCAGCATGGCATTCTTGTTAATAACACATCAACTAAAGGTTATTTTTAAAGTGTTTTCTCTTTTAATATATTAGGGATGATTAGGAAACTAAAATTTTAAATTCCACCATATTCTGCCAGCTTCTTCTATTACCATTTAAGTCTTAAATTGTTTCCAGAAATCATTAATATATTTGGATTGACTCAAATATAATGTTTAACTTAGATTTATATTGTACATTTTAGAGTCAAATATATTGATATTCTTTTTGTTAAAAAAAATGGAAACAAATCTTGTGGTATTTGTTGACTAATAGAAAACAAAATCTTGCTGTATTTAAGTTTTGAAGATTATGTGTCTAAATTTAGATTATATACTTAATATAGAGTCAAATAGATTGATCATAATTAATTGATTTTTTTTTCAATCATGTATAAGAATGACTAGTCCTCTTACTTTCAAAAATCTATTTTCTTGAGTAAAAGTAATTATCTATATAAAAAAAATCTTGTTGAAAGAATCTAATACAAACTAAAATTTGAGAATACGAGATCTTATTGAAAGAATCTTGTTGAAAGAATCTAAAATGGTTTCCCGTGCACCAAATTATCTTTGACACGTGAGACCACGACAAACCGTCCAACTTGCAGATGCTAAAAAAAATTGTGTAAGTTTGTATCTTATTTTTATTTTTCTTTATACCAAAAAAAACCGATCAATATTCAAAATTACTAACCTAATCATATTATTGGTTTCGTCTAAATCACACCATCTTAATTTTGATGATTTCTATGATTTTTCTTCTATCATACTCTCTTAATGTTTGATGATTTCTTCAGAGAATAACGAGAGCTTCTCGACTGAGTTTTTTATATTATTTGGATTGTATTTAGTCTTTGGGGCAGATTTGTGAAAGCATAGTATTTGAAAATTCGAAAAAAAAAATTTATTAATGTTTTTTAAAATATAAATGAGAGAGAAACAAGTAGTGGAAATGCTGCCATGCTGGTGGTTCTTTTTCGTTTTAAAAAAGATTGATTGAAATTTTGTTGATTTGATATAATATATAAATCGTGTGCTCCTGAACTTGTTACTTTTATGTAGGGATTTTTCCGCACACTGCAAGGCTGCATAAGATGAATCATATGGAACTGTGAAATATCCCAGATCGATGGTGCACATACATCCCAGTTCAGTCTTATCTCAGGTTAATAAATTCTCACTCTACATAAACCAATAATATCTGATTAATTATCTAAAAACATAAACAGTAAAATAACAATATAAACCATGATTATGTGAAATGTGTTCTAAACCATGTTCTAAACCATAATATAAACCGTGTTCTACCATCGTTATTTCACCTTCCGTCGGCTGTCCACGCCGGCGGAATGATTTTTCCGGATTCCTATCTGGATTCCGGTCACCGCCTTTTATTTCATATCCTCGACTGCTTAGTGTTTTGCTGCATCATTAAGGGTGTTTTCACGGGTGAGCTGTCAGAGGACTTGCTTCTCCGCCTATTCCGAGATCCGTCTCACCGAGTTTCTCGGGAGATGTTTCCATTGTTCCTCCATCCATACGCCTAAGATCTATCTTCATTCGATTGGTTCTTCGACCAGTCAATTATTAAGTTGCCAAGAGAAATTTAAGGTCTGTTCTTTTCAAATTTCTCCACTAAGGATATAAGTATTTTATCAAGTTCCACTTTCCACCCCGTGAATATTTTATCAAATTTCTCCACAAATCTCCTTCTCTATGATGAGAGCTGGAATTTCTTTGTTTTCAAAGTCAATCCGATGTTCCATCTCCCAAACATGTAGCGATTTTAATAGAACCATAAAATGCAACGGTTTAGTTTTGGTGAGAGAGACTAAGAGTTATGAGCACAAGTTTTCAGATTTACCGTCAATGTTAAGTCGATGCATCTTATTGGAGATGGATTGTCGTTTAAAGCCATGTATAATAATCAAGATTAGCCCATCTGACAAACTGACAAAACCCTAGTGGTTCGTCTAAAAAGGAACAAGGTTACCTAAAAAGAAATCTCCATGCAAAAAGAAAAATCTCTAGAAAAATAAATAAAGATAAGATCAAAGAGAAAAGGAGACCATAATATGCAACAACTTAGGTTTCGACGAGACTAAGAGCTTGAATGATATATAGTTTTTTTTTTCACATTTTTACTTTGAAATTATAATTTCGCTATTTTTTACCATTCACATCATTCATCAGTTTTACACATTTTCACGTTTTTGAAAATTGATCCCCCTATATAGAACTTGCGTAGTTGTTAAAATATAACAAGAACAAAAATAAAATGTGAATAATATACAAAAACTAGCTTTTCTGCATTTATAACTTTTGATAAAAAAAATAATATTTTCGGTCCAGTTTATTCTGCAAACTAGCTTTTATGCATTTATAACGTCTGACATAGCAATGAAACCCTAAGAAGTATCTCTTTCCACCTCTATGTGAGAGTTTTGAATCTCTTTTATTGTTTAATTATCTTTTATAGAAGGATCTCTTTTAACTTCGCTTTCATTTACGTTTAATAGAAAAACAAACCTCTCATTCATAATTTTCTACAACCATTTGACACTCTAATTAAGCTTTAACACCACCATCTTCCCTTGTTTCTCCTATTAAGTTGGATTAACACAAACATGAGGAGCCAACTATTTGGTTAACATACTCTACTCTCATGCATGGAGGCACTTGAATCCATTTATTTCTTCAAAGCTACAAGTGAGTGAGTGCAGAGATTCATAAGCCAAAGCTGTATTTTCAAAGCTTAAGGCAATCTCACGACTCATCTTGCATCCATCAAACAGTAGCAGACAGAGCATACACGAATTCTTAAGCCTAAGGGACTGTAAGCACCGTATCACACCACTCGACATGTCCCCAAATCTCTCTATTTCTGAGCCTTTCAAGCGAAATCTCTGTGTACCAAACCACCGTTTCCTTTTTCCCAACATCCTGTTCCCACAAACCACCATATTTCTACCGTATTCCGCAAGTAAAACAGTCTTGCGATCACAAGAAAACTCTGTTAGCCCTTCTAAACCTTGTAATTAAAAGGTTTTGGAGGGCTACCAGAGATTTTCGCTAATCACAAGAATGTTAAACTGGCGAGAGACACGGTGGAAACATGTTGGTTTTGTGGGACGAGTTTGTTGGGAAAAAAATGGAAAAGATGGTTTGCTGTGTAGAGATTTCATTTGAAAGGTGCAGCTATGAAGAGATTTGGGGAAAAGTCGAGTGGTTCGATGCGGAGCTTACAGTCCCCACGTCTTATGGGTTCATGTATGCTCTTTCTGCTAGTGTTTGATGGATGGAAGATGTCTCATGAGATTGCTTTCAGCTTTGAGAATTTAGGTTTGGCTTATAATACTCTGCACTCACTCACTTTTAGATTAGTATTAAGCTTGTCTTGTGACTTGTCTTGCAGTTTTCTGATTATTTTTATTTTCGTTTTCTCTAAACCGATTCTTGTGATTAATCTACTAAAGTCTAAAACTAGCTTTTCTGTGTTTTATAACTTATTGATAAAAATTAGATTCAGTCCAGTTTATTCCGAAATGTCTTTCAACATCACTAGTCAAGTTACTGCTTTCCACCTCTACGTCAGAGGTTTTGAATTTCTTTTATCATTTAATTATCTTTTATATAAGGATCTCTCTTAAGTTCGCTTGCATTTACGTTTAATAGAAAAATATACATCTCATTCATATATAATCTTCTACTATCATTTGACACTCTAAGCTTTGACACCACCATCTTCCCTTGGTTTCTCCTATTATGTTGGATTAACACAAACACGAGGAGACAACTATCTTGTTAACACATTCTACTCTCATCCATGGCGGGACTTGAAGCCATTTCTTTCTTCAAGCTTTTTTTTATGAAGCTTTAGACACAACAGCTACAATTTTCTTCAGCCGATCCACCTGTCCCACATAAAGGTAAGGAGGTGTCGGTGTTATCAACTTATCTTGGTGGGACGAGCAATCTCGAATTCTTATTGAAATAAATGTAGATCAACACTCTTTCTCCTCCAATCATCACATCCAATATACATATAATCTTTTGTTACCATTAGAACTCTTATACATAACGTACGATTTCCGAATATATGTATCTGGATGTGATGGTCGAAGGAGAAAGAGTGCTGATGGACATTGATTTCAAGATGAAATTCGAGATTGCTCCTCCCACCAAGATATCAGTGACACTTTCCTACGTTTTTGTGGGAAAGGTGGATTGGCTGAAGAGGATTGTGGCTGTTTTTTCTAAAGCTGCAAAGAAAATCTTGAAGAAGAAAGGGCTTCTGTTTAGATGCTGGCATGCAAAGTACGTGTTAGCCAAATGGTTGCCTCCTTATGTTTGTGCTAATCAAGGAGAAACCAGAGACCATGATGTTAATGCTTAGCGTTAAAATGATAATAGAGATAATGGATACATTTCGTGGCTATGTTTGTTTGTTAGAAAGTCATTAAAAAACAAGGTGTGATTACAATATCCAGTTTTTGATCCAATGCGACCTTCCTAATCTATAGTTTTTGGTTTTTGTGCTTGACTTCTCTTGGTTAATAAGAAATAAAGATAATAATACGGTGTGTTTTAAAACAAGAAAAAAAACAAAGAAAAAGAAAGAAATTTAAGTATGGTGGAGAAATCGATTCGATTATAGAAGTGACCGTCAAAATTGGGGAAATTTCAAAACTACACATCTTGAGGTGCCAATTTTCAAAAATATACCTCTTGAGGTGTCCATTTTCAAAACTATATTTTTTTTCATTGAATAAAAGAGCTCTAAACCCTAAAATAAAAATCCAAAACCCCAAAATCTAAACCCTAATCTAAGATTAGTGAACCCAAACATATATATTAAAATTAGGAAAAAATGTATTTTTGAAAATTTCCACACTATGTAGTTTTGAAAATTTTTGCACCTCAAAAAATGTATTTCATAAAATTTCTCGTCAAAATTCTATTAATACGATATCATATTTAATTAATTTTTTAAATATAATAATATATTATCAGACCTAATATAGTAATTTTTTAAAGAAACCATATTCAAAAAAATGTGGGCTATTAGTTGTCAAAAAAAAAAATTGTGGGCTATTTTAAGTTGAACTGGATAAAGATTAAGTTGGATTAGCCAAATTATTGGCAACCTCTAATTTTTTTTCTGAAGAGTGGAAAATAGAATACAGGTGTTGGTACTAATTACTAATCAGGTAGCAGATTAGGGCATCTCTAATGTATTACCCAATATTTTACTCCAAAATGAAGTTGGGTTTGATCCAACCTCATTTATTACTTCTAAAAGAATATTCTAATTATATATTCTTTTTGATTTTTTATTAATTATTAAAATCTACATTTTATATCTATATATATATATATATATTACAAATTGCCCCATAATTTGTTTTTCTTCAAAACTTTCACAATTACAAGACTAAAAATAATAATATAAACTAGATTTTATTTTTAATTAGAACCATTTGAATATTTTCCCAAAAATGACCATTTCAATAGGTTAACTAAATATATTTCTTATTAATTATGTGTCAATTGTATTTTAGAGGAAAATTAAATATCAAAATAATTAATTATGTATCCTAAAGTGAAACAATTTAATATTTCAAGGACTCTTGCATATATATAAAAAAATTTACTCCAAAATGGAAATAGAAATGAAAACGAGATCATAAAAAATATGACATTCTACCATTTTGAGGTTGAAAATGGAATTGAGTTGGAGTAATTTATATTTCAAAATGACAATAAATATGAAAAATGAGGCTGGATTGGAGGTTGAAGATGCTCTTAGGACCAGGGGGTATTTATTAGATCTGTAAAAAGTTTGTATATTTAGAAAATTTACAAAATATTTTTAGTGTATATGAAAATCTAAAAGTTATATACAATATTTTAAAAGTTTTTTCTATATAAGTTATTTTGTTTAAAATATATTTCCCAATATTAAAGATTTTTTAAAATTCATAAAATTATTAAAATCTAAACTTTTTGAGTATAGTTGTCAATATGGATAAGGGTCCATAAACTGTCTGTCTATATCTAAATGCTTATGAATTGGATATAAAAAGCTCAATTTCGACATAAATATAATTGGGTATGTCCAATTTCGACTATGAGCATATATGGACGGACAATATCCACAATGGGCTATCTAATGACCTAAAAACTTAACATAATTAACTTCACGTAAAGTGAAACAATCGATTTTCAATATTTTTTTCTATAATAAAATATGCTTTTTTTGTTCATACATAACCCAGTTTAGATTAGCTATAAATTTTCTAGATGTCAAATTTTATTTATTGCTTTATTTATTGCTTTAGAATCTGAATCACTCTCTATATCAAGGTTAACAATATCACGGGTCAACACCAAAATTCTTTCAAACTTGGGTTTTTTTCGAAGAGACAGAAAAAACGAACAAGTGTAATATTGCACTTTGTAAGTATTGATTATACATTATTGACTCATGAAAAAGTTTAATTTATTAACATAAGATTATCAACTTTTTATTTTGTAAAATCATAAAATTGTGTTAAAATAAAGTTCACAACTTCCCGTGAAATATTGACAAATTTAGTTAACTCATGGTTAACAACATCATAGGTCATAACCTATTTCTTTTCAAATTTATCTACTTTCGAAGAGACGGAAAGAATGAACAGGTGATCTGTACTTTGTAAGTACTCATTATACAATATTATTGACCCCGACAAAAGCTTTTTTAACACAAGATTATCAACTTTGTACTCTGTAAAATCACTAAATTATGTTAAAATAAAGATCACAACTTCATGTGTTGTCGGTAGTACGAGTAAAATTTGTTCAGTTGACTTAAATTCACAAATTTAGTAAAAACAATATCACAGGTCAGAACCAGAAAATTTTCAAATTTGGATATTTTCGGAGAGACGGGAAAAATGAATAGGTGTGGTCAAATGTGAAATATTGTACAACATTATAACTCACCAATCAAACCGAGCGAACCCGAAAAATGATCACTTATTTTATTTATATTATTCAGACTTAGGTCTCGGTTTGATATGGTTCACTCGGGGTTAAAGTTTAGCATGAAATTATAACAATTTGTAACGCAGGAAAAAAAACACTAATGATCACATATTTATTAAAATGTGAATAATTAAAGTTTTCTTATAAAAAATTACAACATCTCGTGCTTTACGAGTCAAGATGTAGCATGTTTTTGGTAGGCTCTAGATATACCAATAATTATCAATCATTAACGGAAAAATCGTATATTTATTTTTTTACTTTTTAAAGAAACAACAAGCCGTAATGTCGACAACACGAGTCAAAATCTAATGAAGTAATGGAGAAATTTTGATTCTCTCAAAGCTAACAATATGGACAAAATTAATAATTAGCATTCCCATTAACGAAAAAAAATAAAATACTTATTTTTCTTCAAAAATTATAACATTCAGTGCTTTTCAAGCACATGTCAAGATCTAGCAAGTGTTAAGAAGGAAACAAAATTTTCTTTTTTCTTCTTTCTCTTGCCTTCCTTATCAATATATTTTCCTTATATTATTTTATATACTCAAATACTAGGGTTGGACCCGCGCCTGCACGGGGTGATATTTTCTTGATTTAGTTTTATTTTTAGATATCTTTTTACATAAGTATCATTCTAGAAAAATAGGTGTTAGACAATAAAAAATATGTCAGTTTACATTAGACAAAATTTTGAGTGATGTATATTTTTTTAGCCTGGATTGGAACATGACGAAATATTAAGTGACATAGTTGAATCCACATATATATCTTTTAATAAGTTTGAAATAGTTTTATATGGCATATATATTTAATATTTTTGATCAATTTTAAATAACTAAAATAGTTTAACTTATATATTAAGTTATTAGATTTTATTATGATTTATTTATTTAGTTCAATTAAAGAACAAAATTAAATCAAATTAAAAAAAATAAAGTTTGGAAACCTAATAAATCAGTTTTTTTACTATGGTTGATCATTATTTGATATTTTTTTATAATAGGTTTTTGAACTATCATCCCAAAATATAATCGATATGAGACTTTTAACAATTTTAGAGATTTGCTTCATTTTAAAATTTTCAAATCATAGCATATGCAGAAAAAACTAATTTTGTTTTATGAAATATTTTGATGTAATGATATAATTTATTTTTGAAAAAGTAAAGTTAAAAAAATGATAAGATAATAAATTAATTTTTAAACAATTAATATAATACAATTGAATAAAACTTTCCATATTTTACTGATTGATTGACTAATAAATACTTTTAAATTTATTTATAATTTTCGTCACTACCAGATAAGGAAATAGAAAAAAATTAATTTTAATTAATAATTATTTTCTGATTAAATTAATAATAAATATTTCAGCACTTGCCTAATAAAGAGAGGTTATTTTTAGAATATTCTGAGAGTGTGGCAAATTGCGACACCTCAGCATGGCATACTTGAAATTAAGTTGAAAACAAAGGATTTTTATAAATGTCTTCTCTTTTAATATATAAGGGATATTGATGTTAGATATTCTTTTTGTTAAAGAAAAATGGAAACAAATCTGGTGGTATTTGTTGACTAATAGAAAACAAAATCTTGCTGTATTTAAGTTTTGAGGATTATGTACATAGATTTAGATTATATACTTAATATAGAGTCAAATAAATTGGTCCTAATTAATTAATTTTTTTTAAAATCATGTATAAGAATGACTAGTCCTCTTACTATCAAAATTCTTGTGTAAGAGTTATATCTATATAAAAAAATTCTTGTTGAAAGAGTATTACTAATTAAAATTTTGAGAATAACCATAAAGATGATGATTCTAAAACGGGATGTATTACCCACTTTTAAGGATCTATGATAGACATGTGGTCGTGGTTTCACGTGCAGCAAATTATCTTTGACACGTGAGATCACGACAAACCGTCCGACTTGCACATGCTGAAAAAACTCGTGTAAGTTTGTATCTTATCTTTATTCTTTTTTATACCAAAAACATTATCAATATTCAAAATTACTAACCTAATCATATTATTGGTTTCTTCTAAATCACACCATCTAAATTTTGATGATTTTTATGATTTTTCTTCTATCATACTCTCTTAATTTTTGATGATTTCTTCAAACATCCCTAATATATTAAAAGAGAAAACACTTTGAAAATAACCTTTGTATGATGTGTTATTAACAAAAATGCCATGCTGATGTGTCATCACTAGGAAGCTTCTCATGCTACTTATAAAATAAGGTTTAGTTTACTAGAATAACTAGAGTTTGACCCGTGCCCAGCACGGGGTGATAGTTTCTGAATTTGTATTTTTATTAAAAAATGTTTATTTAAATATTTCGACATTTTATGCGA